GCTGAGGATCGAACCCGGGCCGCACGCATGCCAGGCTAGCACGCTACCGCTTGAGCCATATCCCCAGCCCCTTTGTGTGGGTTTTTGTGTGGACTAAGTTTCTGACTCATATGGGTAAATGACAAGAAATACAATTACTTGATCATACGATTAAGAGTATGTTTATATTTGTAAGAAACTGCCAAACTGTCAAACAAGGTGGCTGTACCATTTTGTGTGCCCCTCAGCAATGAGTAGCAATCCTTGTTACTCCACATCCTTGTCAGCAATTGCTATTGTCAGAGCTGTGGTTCTTGGCTGTCCTCATAGGTGTGTAGTGGTGTCCTGTTGTTACATTTGATGACATAGGACATGGAACATCTTTTCATATGCTTATTTGTATATCTTCTTTGACTAGCTGTTTGGGTCTTTGGCCCATTTTTAAATTGGATGGTTCATTTTGATAATGTTGAGCTTAAAGATTCATAAAAAAAGTTGAGTATATAAAATCTTTGTGTATTTTGGGTAATACTTCCAAAATGTATCAGATACACCTTTTGCAAATATTTTTTTTTCCTATTCCGTGGCTTGTCTTTTCATTTTCCTGACAGTATTCTTTTCAAGCACTTTTTAATTTAAATGAAGTCTGGCTTATCAATTCTTTCTTTCAGAGATCATGCCAAAAAAGTCATTATCACACCTAATATCATCTAGGTTTTCTCCTATGTTATCTTCCGGAAGTTTTACATTTTACTTTTAGATTTATGTTCCATTTTGATTAATTTTTGTGAAAGATTTTTTTTTTTTTGCACATGGATGTCTAGTTGTTCCAGCACCATTTGTCGAAAAGACTGTCTTTATTCTATTGTATTGCCTTTGTTCTTTCTCTGAATCTGTTGATTATGTTTATGTGGGTCTATTTCTGGGCTCTCTATTCTGCTCCAGTGACTTATTTGTTCTTTGACCAATACCATACTCTCTTTATTACTGTACCTTTGTCATTAAAATCTTGAAGGCAGGCAGTGACGGTTTTCTGACTTTCTTCAATATCATGTTGGCTATTCGAGAATCTTTGCCTCTCTCTATAAACTTGACAGTCACTTTGTCAATATCCACGAAATAATGCAATGGGATTTTGATTTGGATTACATTGAATCTGTAGATTAGAATTGGAGAACTTCTTCAATATTGAGTGTCTAGTGGAAGCATGGACTGTCTCTCCATTTGTTTAGTTCTTTGATTTTTTAATGAGAGTTCTGTATTTCTCATCATGTAGATCGTGTACATATTTGGTTAGATGTATACCTACATATTTTATTTTTTGGAGAGATAATGTAAATGGTACTGTTTTAATTTCAAGTTCCATTTATTTATTGCTAGCATATAGTAAAGCAGTTGACTTTTGTATATTAACCTTATATTCTGCAACCTTGCTATACCTATACTTTAATGGACTGGAGGTGGAAACCCAGGTCTTTTCATCTAGACCTAATCCTTTTTCTATTCTACCACTCATCTTAATTGATGTTTCCTAAGTCAGCTTGTTTTAAAGGGGAGATTCTTTTTGTCTGTTCTACTATTAAACTTTAAGCTGAAAATTTTTATTTCAGTGGAGCAAATTATTTTATTCCTTCTTACACAAGTGGTAGCTTCCAGGTTGGGGGTGGGGCTTCCTCTGTTTTGGGGTATAAAACCTTCTGTGCCTCAGATGGCTCAGAAGCTGAATGCTCCTTGGCATATTACTGAACACTTTGCAGCCCAAAGCTGCTTTTATCCCTCTGATTGTCGGTGCCAAAATGTTTCTCAGAACATTGTCGGAAACTATCTTCCTCTAATCCTTTGGCCAGTTCAGTTCACGGAAGCTGGATCTCCCTGCCTTGATGAAGTGTGCTTTATTGGTGTGATGCCAAGCCTTCTTGATTCCTCATTTCACTTACTAGCCCAAGAAAAAGTGCCACTAACCTACATTTTAGAGGTAGGACACTGGGAAAATTTTCTCCTTGGTGAACTTTTCTGGAATCCTTCTATCTGGTGCAAGCACAGTGTCTAGAATAAACTAGAGGCTCATAATGTACTTGTGAAGTGAAATGCCTGTGGTGGACATCTGCAGGGCTGCTCTTTTTTCTGGGCTTGGGGCAGGCATCTTGTCCACGGAGGCCTCAATAGTTGCAGAACTGGCAGGCCATGAGGGACAGCAGACTGATTTTAACAGTCTCAGTCAAATGGAATCTCTTGACAAATTTATAGCAGGGATTGAACAGAATCCCC